CTATCTGCCGTATTCCTTCAAAAGGTGTGTGTAAGTGTAGCTAGAAAAATTGATGCTGTTTTGAAGGCAAAGGGTGATCACACCAAATATTGATTTGATTTGGATTTCCTTTCTGTCCACACTTTTATTTCTGAAAGCATTCTTAATTTACAGCATTGTTTTACACCTGCCTAAAACTTTTGCTCAGCAACGACAGCTATGACTTTTCAGAAGTACATGTCCCCTAGAACCTACTATATCAGGAGAACAAGTGTGGATTTTTTCCTTTTAAACAATTTATTTCTCCATCCTGGAGTGTTCTCAACATCTTTGACAAGGTAAATATTTGGAAATATCTAGACTGGCTGTATGTCTGTTGGAAAGCAAGTGTGAGAGAATACAGTCCTTGGTATCCATATGCAATATCTATAGAGATCCTATGATCATTGCCTTGTCGTCATTATTAATAGTTAATCTATAGCCAATAAAAGATCATGCTACAGTGATAGTTTACATCACTATCAGATTGGTGCATATATTGTAGTGAAAGTTTTGTTTGAAAATATAGGTGCATGGGGAGTAAGCACACTCGAATGCGATGCTGCACCACCACCACCATGTGACAAATGAATGAGTTGGCATGCGATACTTTTATTAATATGTCGCAGGAAGTGCTATTTAAGCAGGCATATAGAAACTGGAACATTTTCGGGAGTGCACCAGCCTTTGCTCCCGCTATGTTCCTAGTACTAAACGGACTCCTGGTAGTAAATGGGTTAACTTTTACCTGTTTCCACATGTTGCTTTGCCCAGTGTGTTTGCTCCAGCTGTTCACAGAGACCTTTTGTACTTATTTTCTCTCAGTTAAATGAAGCTAGCAATTGCAAGTGACGTGACTGCTAGTAGATAAAATCATTGCAAAACATGGAATTGGCTTTAATGTTCAACATCAAAAATCCAGCATCAAATTTAACTGGCTTACTTACAGCTCTGATGGAGGAATTTTATATAAATTGAGGAAAATAAAATGGGGAAGTCTAAGGTTCTCAAATGTCATATTCCAGTCTATACAATAGATAACATACCTTTGGAATCTGTTATATTTCCATAGCTAACACCTCTGTGTTTCTTTCTCCACCCCCCTCTCAGTAATGTATATTTTTGCGTTAAGTGATTAAGATTTCTTCTTTTAGGGCTCATTCACACTAGCGCCTTATCACCCTGTCACCGACTACTTTAACCCCTTGTACCTTGCACTAACATGCTACAACCATGTGCATTGTACACAATCGTGGGGCACTTGCAGAGTAACCCAATTATCTTGTAGAGGCCACTGAAATTTGCAGGGGATATAACTACTGCCGCAGCTATGGCATGTATACACCCCCTGTCTCTGCTGCTAAAGAGGGTAGCGGTTGAGGAGCAGTAAAAGCATGGCTGAACTGAGGGGTTTTATTGCCCCTCCACCACTAGCATTTAATCCAAGCCTGCATATGACATGAGCTTTGTCTTGTTTATAAAAATACTTTATTTAGTATTTGTTTCAAAAGAAATTAAAACATTCGCCTAGATTGTAAACTCCAAGGAGCAGGGCCCTCCTATCCCTCTTGTATTGAACTGTATTGTTGCTGTATTGTCTCCCTTTATATTGTAAAGCGCTGAGCAAACTGTTGGCACTATATAAATCCTGCATAATAATAATAATAATATCCAGAACTACAGCAGTATTGTTGTTCAAGTGTTCAGAAGTCTGTGATAACTGAAATCATGTACAATTAGGGCTTCATTCACACAGCCAGCTGTTCATAGTTGTACACCATCTTGATCAGCATGTTCACTTTTAGCAAATCAATGACAGGCTGAGAGGCTCTGTACCTGTACACTGGTATTCACACGTGGGGTGTTTATCTGTGGGTAGGGGCAAATGAGCAGCCCTCAATGCAAGGAGTCTGTGTACAGATCAGCTCATCTGTCCTTAGCTGGATGTAGTCACTCCTTCAACGATAACATGCGAACAGCCGTTTACAGCATTAGCATGTCAATGAATTGTTCAGGCTTTCTGCCCACAGTTATCCTAAACACCTGGATGTACCCACTGCAAATATACAATGTTCTGGTCTGTGCACAGCTATGTATGGCCATGTACCTAAGGTCCTTGAGGGCAGGAACTGAGGTGAATGTACAATATATATGTGAAGCCCCTCGTAAATAGATTTTTTTTTAGTTTTGAATAGAGTAGGGAAGGGTTACAACCACTGCTAGATGAAATTTTGCTGCATGTGTACTAATGGGAAAATTTCCCAATGATGCAACAGAAAGTTAAAGAAAAATCTCCCAAAGTGAGGGGAATTTCACTCATGGACAGCTGCTGCCAAAACAAGTGCCCCATAGGATGATTTCCCATTACCTCTCAATCTGGGGACCACTACAAAATTTTGGATTTCCACTCACTTTCTTGATGACAATGGATACCAGTACAGATAGAGGGGTAATTCTCACAGTGGGGATACAGACAGCAATAAAAACTTGACAGATGCTCTAAGCTTTCCTCACACTATCCAAAACTAAAAAAAGTATTTCCCTACAGATACACTTCAAAGTGATTGTAAATCCATATTTTTTATAACTGACAAATATGCCATACTTACCTGCTCTGTGCAATGGTTTTGCACAGAGTAGCCCCAATCCTCCCCTTCTCGTGTCCCCTGCCAGCGCGCCTGGCTCCTCCCCCCGCTGAGTGCGCAGCATAGCAAGCCGCTTGCTAAGGGGGCAAGAGGAGAAGCCAAGAGGCAAGGGAACCCATAAGAGAAGGTTCTGGGCTGCTCTGTGCAATACCAGTGCACCAAGCAAGTAAGCATAACATGCTTATTATTTTAATTACAAAGTTTAGCTGTACAACTGCTTTAAAGCTTGTAGCCCCAAAAAGTAAGCTTCTTTTGAGCTACAACCTTTAAAAGAGAAGTAGGGATTCCCCCCCCCCCCCCCATTTATACTTACCTAGATCGGTGCAGCATCAGTCCAATGGTCCATTTGCCCCCTGTCGCCTCTAAGGGTGAGAACTCAGCGATCACATGACCGCTGAGTTCTCCACTCTGCTCTGAGCAGAGAACGGGACTGTCAGTCACCACTGTCTGCTCTGACCCCCACAGCGCTCACTGGAGCTCTGGGTTATGAAGGGGGAGGGATTGGTTGGCTCAGGCTCTCAGCGTTTTGCTTTTAGACTTTAAAGTCGGATCTTTCCCCATCCTGGACCGGCTGAGTAACAGCAGCCGACTGCAACCTTTAGCCCACTGTCAGCTGAAAACGGTCCATAGGAGTGCAGAACGAACTGACAAGAGCTTTGACTGTTCTTCTCCTTTAATTGTTTTGGCCCCAATATGCTTCAATGGAAATGCCTCAAAAATGCGCAAAAAAAGTGCATATATGTGCATAATCATGCATATCATGTGGTTTTTCCCGTAGTAAATAGCTTTCCATTGGCTAATAATTATTAAAATAGGACCCGCTAAAGCAAAAAAATGCTTAAAAATGTCTGTACAAATGCTACAGTTCAAAAAAGCCTGTAAAAACAATCAGAGATGCTCAGCTCTTGTGTGAATGCAGCCTAAGTTATTTAAAGAGTTTCACCCAGAAGGGGAAGACTGGTCCCCTGCTCCCATTAAGGATTGGCACCTTTAGGGAGCGGGGGGGGGGGAGCAGGTAGGTACCCAAAACTGACAGGTACCCGCTCTCACTTCCGCTGCGATCGCCTAGGTGATCGGAAGCGGAAGTGGTCCTCCTACCCTCCCTCCCAGTAGTCTTCTGGAACACGTGACAGGTCCCAAGACACTACGGGGCCATTCAGAAAGCACAGCGCTACTCGCGCATGTGCAGTGGGCACCCGGCTGTGAAGCCGCAAGCTGTCACAGCCAGGTGCCCACACTGAAGATGCCGGCACCTGGAACACAGGACGGCCGGTGAAACGGGCTGCAGGAAGGACACCGTGGGATTGTGGGACAGGTGAGTGGCTATTTTTCAAAAGTCAGCAGCTACAGTTTTTGTAGCTGCTGACTTTTATTTTTTTACAGTGTGAGCGGAACTCCGCTTTAAACATGCTTGGGACAAACATGAATGTTCAGAGTTGAAAAAAGAAAGACAAAATAAATAAATAAATAAAATGAAAAATGGGGCTTACTTGATGAACTGCTTGGTCTTTTTCTGCCGCCACTCTTCTAAGTTTCATGGAAGTACAGGAAAACAAACTGTATCACATACAAAGACAACCAACAGAACAGATTGAAGTTACTACCTATTCACGTTTAGCTAGTAGGACATGTGACTAGACTCTTAAAAGCAGTAATATGCCTGCTATCTAAAATTACACACAAGCTGGTGTACTTTCTCCAACTTAAACATAGACTGTAAGTCTAAATTGGGAAGACTGTACCTCAGTTCATGTCAAACAAATATATTACCAACACTGAGCTCACCTAATGCTCATTTTAGTGCTTACCCCTGAAGGAGTTGCTGATGTTTCGGTCCTCTGATTCCAGATGACAACAACCTTTCCTGCAATGCCACACCCTCTAACACACCAAGGCTAAGTAATGAGGATTTACTTGGAAAACACTCCCAACAAGGCAACAAAACCGAACAGCAATAACAATAAACAATAACAGATAATACATTTGTACAACACCACAAAGAAGAAGAGGACAAAGTGTCTTTGAAAAATGAAACTAGGGAGGTCTAAGCTAAAGGGGCAGTAATGAATACTAAAGGGTCTTTCAGTCTTCCAAAGCCCCTCCCACTGACCAGTGTAGTTTAACTGCCCGGAGTTCCTATGCTGGAGCACTCAGATTTAGACCGTTCCCATAGTATAGATCATAAGTATCCAAATTGTATCCTAAGGTGAGGTGACATAGTTCCTTTAACCACTTGCCTACCGGGCACTTTTACCCCGTTCCTGCCCAGGCCAATTTTCACTGATAGGTGGTACTGATGGGACCTGATAGGCGGCACTGATTGGAACTGTTAGGCAGCACTGATAGGTGGCACTGATGGGCACTGATAGGCATCACTGACTGGCACTGGTAGGTGTCACTGACTGGCACTGATAGGTGGCACTGATAGGCATCACTGACTGGCACTAATAGCTGGCACTGACTGACAGCTCTGATTGGCACTGATATGTGGCATTGATGTGCACTGATGGGCACTGTTATGTGACATTGATGGGTATTGACAGGTGGCACTGATGGGGCTACACTGATCATCAGTTCCCTGATGATCAGTGTAGATGTCCCCTCTGAGGAATGCCACTTACTGCCTCTCCTCTCCTCATGCACTGTCAGTATGAACAGAGGACTGCCGATAACCAGCATTTCCTATTTACATGCGATCAGCTGTGATTGGACACAGCTGATCACATGACAGAGCCTGTGTCATTGGCTCTTTATTGTGATCGGTGATCTTCTGTGTCTCAGGGACACAGCACACCACTGTTTCGCCACAACGCACACCCCTGGGGGAACATTTAGAGTGGGAGGACGTCTTATGACATCCTCCCAGAAGAAGAAAGCCACCACCCGACCGTCATTTCTTTATATGGTAGGCAGGAGGTAGTTAAGAAGTGGGCAAGGAAGAAGTGGTCAGCGGCCTCACACCACCAAGCAATCTGTGATTAAGCCTCCTCTCCCACTTTCTGCTATCTGGATCCCAGGACTCTCGGGGAACCTGTGATGTACATGGCAATGGCAATCTTCCATGGAACCGGGGAAGCTCTCTGACAGCTGTGACCTCTCTGACAAAGCAACCCACTGTGATGTTTACCTCTTGCTTTCCAAACAAGACTGCCCCAAGTTCTAGTTTCTACTTCCTATTTCCTTCTCTCCCTAGCATTCAGCTTCTGTGCCTTGTAGTGCCACAGAGACCTACAAAACTGAATACAGTCTCTCGGGGGACTACCTCCCCCACAACCGCTACTGCCTCTCAAATAGTAATCATCCATTTCTAACAGGGCATTCAGCCTGAAAAAGTCTCCATAACCTTATAATGGCCAGGAAAGGGAAAAGGTGAGTTCCACGAAAATTGGCTAAAAATGTATCAGAACTCAAATACATCAGTATTTAAATAAAGTTCTGAAGCATTTTTTAGCCGATTCTTGTGGCACTTCCGGGACAGTGGATGGGCTCACCTCCAGCAGCTGTGGGCACAAATGCAGCCCTGTTGCAGTCTGTGTCCTTACCCTCTCTCACTATGACACACATCATTTGCAGCCAGGAAGTGGAGAATGACAGCTGCAGTGTAGGGTCAGAGGAATGTTGCGGACCAGAGCTACTCCATTATATTAGCCAAATACATATCACATTTCATATGCTCATTCACATATTAAATTCAAATAAGCATGCTTATGTCCTATATACAATTTCCTTCCTGGTAATTTGTTTCATATAACTTGGCAATGCAAAGAGAAACAGGGCATCTGCCAGAAACTCATCCAATACAATGGACCTTCCAATTCCACCAGATCCTGAATGCTACTTAATGTAACAACCAATTTTGGCGTAGATAATTTATCCCTAGAATGTTTACAGAGATATGATTTATTCCTGAAAACAGGCTTATACCCCTGAACACTTGTATATGTGGGCATAGGTTAAGGGGTGGCAACCTTACCCATGCTCCAGGGGGCCTATGTGACCTCCTTGTTATATTAAGTTTTACAAGAGGGGCGGCATTTACAGGAATTAGACCCCTTTCCCTCTTGCAGCCGCTGAAAGCCTGCTTCTCCTCCTTTCCCTCCCACTGGCCCCTTCCTCTACTGAATGAACACAGTGAGTGATCTCATCAGGTGACTAAGGTGCTCGTTATTCTTGTGACTTCCTGGAACCGGTGGAGGTGCATACAAGTGTATAAGCAATGCACACTCACCAGAATGCGCAAGCTAATGCGCGTAATAGTAAATTATCCTGATGTCATCAATGGTCATCATCATTAGAGGACAATAAAGATGACCTTAAAGGCCTCTTTTTACACCTACAAAACCTCACATCAGCAGAAGTGAGGACTTTGTGGGATGTGTCCTTTTTAGACAAATACGCGAAGGAACGCATGGTTCCCCGGTGACTCAGATGGGACGTGCCTCCTGATAATATGGATAACACAGGCCTTTCGGAATAGTTCCAGTTCTTCAATAATGCTGGCACTGACTTACTTAAATTTTATGATTCGTTTTATATACACATATATAAATAGGAATATAGGAATATTGTTTTTATAAGGTAATATCCTCTTTTTGTAGATTCACCTTTTATCTCCTTGTAGTTCTCAGAGAATATATCCTTATTTGTTTTTATCACACTAGACCTAATGCCACATTTTTCCATAGGTATACTTCATGACGCTCATATGCTGTCATTAGGGGGTTTTTTTCCTGGTGTATTGATTCTTTATTTTTTACTATATACCCACCAGCTTTTAAAGTTTCAGTGTACATGCTTCTGACACCTCGTATTATCGCTTTAACCTGTTTGGCTAATAAATACCTAAGGAAAATTGGCGCCTGCTTAGTGCCGTGTGCGCCTGAGCTCAGGTCTACTCCAAGATGGCGCATGTTTAATGTGCATGCACTGTCGCGTATATAAATAGACGGCGCACAGCTAGGCGTTACTGACACTTCCCTCAGACAACGTGTGGCTGTACGAAACGCGTAAGGAGGAGCCAGTAACACCGTGATGTCACGCCACCGGAGCAACGTGGAGCTCCGGCGGCCATCTTTCATCTTGGACGGTTATTCCACACTGCTTTACCTGCTCTATATGTGATCTTGATGTGTTTTAACTTGGATATCTGCAATAAATACTTTTAAAGTTACTACACTATGGGTATATTTTTGCTTTGACTCCCCTGGGGAGTATTGATTTCACAGCGATCCTAACCTCCAAAGAGGGAGCCTCCACTAGACCCAGCGGGCTGCACCCACCTATCCCATAAAAGGGAACTCTGGATTATCCTGATTCAACCAACCCACATCTCAGGACCCATCTACCCATAGAGGGAGTGCATAGGATTCCTGTCTCACCCCATGATGACCATTGATGACATCAGGATAATTTACTAATACGCGCATTAGCTTGCGCATTCTGGTGAGTGCGCATTGCTTATACACTTGTATGCACCTCCACCGGCTCCAGGAAGTCACAAGAATAACGAGCACCTTAGTCACCTGATGAACTCATATATGACCTAATATATACTATGTATATATATGTATTTTGTATTTTAGTGATTTATACGTTAGTCCTTTTATACACCTTTTCCATTTTAGCGCTACACATCATTATTTATATTGTCTATTTAAAGGTTTTATTTGGTTACCTTGTACTTAGCTGCTTTCATTTTAATTTGTGCGCTCACATCCACTTGACCTAATATACAGTGAGTGATCAGTACCGGTCACTCTGAGTTTCCTCTTTTACATAGAAGTCCACCAGGAGTATATTGCTCACTGGAAGCAGTGGGTGGCAGTGGGGGGGGGGGGGGTAACAGGTCAACTTTTGCATCAGGGCCCACAAGCTTGAAGCTATGCCTCTGTTTGTATAGATGCTTCAGCATAGGATGACTAAGGAAAACTGAATTCCTAGCACCAGAAAACCAGTACAGACTTATGCTTATATTCATATGCATTGTTCACGTGCTCATACTTCTTAACGAAGAAACAACAAATGTGCTGTTCCAGTTCAGCATGCACACATGCAAACGGGCACACGCGCATTCCAATTAGTGTGCACACTTTGCACCCAATGAACTATTTAAACTGGTCTGTCATTATGAGCAGGTGCTGAATGGTCTTCAACTTGTTCCTGTGACCTGATCCGCTGTACCTGCTTACCTGTGTACTGCTTGCCCATGGACTTCGCTTCTGTTCTAGTCTAAACTCTGTTAATCTGATTACTCTAACCTCGGCCTGTTTACTGCACTTGCCTTTGCCTGTTGTCTCTCTACCGCTTTGCCTAGCTGTTACTGACCTTGGCTTGCTTCCCTGACTTGCTTTGCCAGCTGATTTGGTCCCTCACTACCTGGTCATTGCTGACTGCTGAATACTGCCTGTCTCTTGGTCCTGCTTCTATCTTTTGCTCAGGTGCCAAGCTGCTCCTGCGTCCCATTCTGAGGACTGCAACTACCAGCTCTACCCATCTACAGTGGACACCGCCAGCCAGTTACTAGCATACTCATACCACTCTTTGCCCTCACACTCTCTGTCTCCACCTTCAGGAGTGTTGGGCAGGAGGTGCAAGAGAGGCCTCCACAACATTCCAGTCTTCACCAGGTACGTGATAATGGCCCTTTAGTCTAGACTGGGTCCTTTTAAGTATCTACTATGTTCTTTACCTTGTAAATACATTAAAGTACCAGCATCATTTCCCAACATTTATTGTTATGTTTGGTGTATCAAATTAATCACTCACAATGCAAGCAGATTGATAGTATTATTTTATTAATGTTGAATTTTAATACCTAAAGGACACCTTAAGTGAATAATATCATTAAAAAAATGCTAATGAAATTTGGTAATATATGTTTTAAAATATATAATAGAGACTAAAAACATACATACTTAAAAGGAGAAGTATAACCAAAGCTATTTTGGCTTTACTTCCTCTATAGGTCAAAGCAGTGCACTTTGTTCTGCACTATTGTGACCATTTTTCAGCCAACAGTCTGCTGTAGTCTGATGTCACTCAGCCAGTCCAGGCTCTAGAAAGATACCGACCATATGGTTGGGAGTTGGGACCCACCCAGAAGCCTGGACCAGCACCTAATTCAGCCTCTCAGTGATCCACCAAGAGCTTGAGCCTGCCACTCCCACCGCCTCCAAAGCCCAGTGCTCCAGTGAGCGCTAGAGGGGCAGAGCAGAGAACCGGAGACTGACAATCACTGCTCTCTGCTCAGAGCGGAGGGGAGAACTAAGCGACCAGTGGTGCTTGATCTTTCAGTTCTCACACTGCAGTGCTGATGGGGGCCAGATGCAGCATCAGATTGATGCTGTATCCACCTAAGTGAGTATAAATGGGTTTTTTTTCAGTCGATACTTTACGTTTAAATAAAAAGCAATCATCTGTTTCATCTATTAGTATTTACAATTTTACAACTATTTGATAATTGTTTGATAATAGCTATTATTATTCATGTGATATGTCCTTTATATGTGAATATATAATTAATTACATTATATACATATTTTAAGACATGTAAGGTCTTGATATATTATTTCTTGTGTTTTGCATAGATTATGTAAATTTGCCCCTGTTGGTATAGGGTATATACACCCATTATATATTCTGACTATGTGAGGATGTACT